ATTCGTTGATTATTTCTTGTTCCGTTTCCATTTCTTTGCTGTAGGCCCTGGTGTTGGGCCTATCTTTCTTAGACATTTTAAAATTTTTTATTGAGTCAATTAACCATCCTCTGCTACCATTTTGTTGCAATATTTTCAGGATCAGACTCAATAAGATTAGCAAGAGTTAAAGATTTAACTATATATTCTTTTATTTACATTAGGCATTCTATATTCACTGAATATTCACAGATAGAAGCAAGGGAAAGGGTGTAGGTAGCTCCTTATATATACAATGGGTGGAGCTATATGTGGGAGTGGTGAATTATGAATACATTAAGAAGTGAAGAATAAGTTAACCCCTGATACCCTGTCTGTACACTATTTACACATTAGAGAATAAGGCATTTACATCTGACAAAAGTTACATTTGAAAAAGAGCCTTGGTAGTACAGTGGTCTAAAGCACCCTGTTATTAAGACCAGCTGCCTGCAATTACTGCAGGTTCGAATCTCGCCAGGCTCAAGGTTGACTCAGCCTTCCATCCTTTCTAAGGTAGGTAGATTGAGGACCCAGTTGTGGGGGCAATAAGCTGACTTTGTATAAATATACAAAAGGATGAAGGCTATTGCTGAGCACATTGTAAGCTGCCCTGAGAAGGGCGGCATATAAATCAAATTAAAAATAAATAAATAAATAAATAAATAAATAAATAAATAAATAAATAGCACCAAACCTACTAAATTTTTAGAAAGTAGTATAAGGAGTATAGTAGTGTAGGATTCAGATATCCTGTTTTCTGTTTTTGGGATGAAATAAAAGGTGGTACTTATTTACTCTCAGTGGCTGTAAGGATATACAACTAGCTCAACTAAAATCTGAACTCAAAGGTGTTTTGGAGTAACTAATGCAGTTTGCCATCCATCTGAATAGACAAGAAGGTTTTAATCAGAGATGGAATTCAGCCGGTTCAGACCGATTCGGGCAAAACGGTAGCACCAACAATCAGTTGGCCCTGCCCCCTGCTCTATCCAGTCTTTTACTTCCTGCTTTGTAGCTCATCTCAATCGCGCAGCACAGTTGCTCCCCCCCCCCCAACACACACTGTTCTACTTACTATTACTGACTTGGAAGATAAGCAGCTGAGATTCTAAATGCTCTATTTTCAATGCTGCATGCACACGCAAAGCAAGCATTCACCGAACTGGTTGTTAAACCAGCAGCATTCCAGCACTGGTTTCAATCCATCAGAGTGACCTCCTCATTAGACCACCATCAGTTGTCTTACTCCAAATGGCTTTTCAAATGAAACCATAAGCTTCTTGGACAGTGAGAGGATGGACACCATGCCTCTGGGGCAATGATGAAGCAGTGAAGGGTTGGATAAAGACCATGAAGGACAGGGTCTCACCGTGAGCATAATGGAGTTTGGAAAGCATAATTATGATACTGCTAAGTTTTCTAGACCAAAACAAAAATCACAGGAAAGATGTAGATGTACTGTAATCAAGATATTATTCTGGAAAAGGATGGCAGTTCCCTCCCTCCCTCTGTAGGAACATCCTGTTCCACTGGGATCATATGAAGTGCACAATCTTATAACAGAGAATGATCTTCAGTGGAAACATGTCCAAACCTAGAGAAGGCCTTTTTAGAAGGCCTAGAAAAGGATTTCAAAAGGTGCTTATTTCATTGTAGCAATTTTTCCAAGGAAAAAATAATAATTGTATGCATAATTTTAAACACAACTATGAGATTTTCCAAATGATACTCTGGACCTTGGGGCAAGTTGGAAATGGTCTGTCTCCAGATCATTTGGAGACAGAGATTTCTGGAGCAAGTTGGACATGTCTGCTTGTTATTTGAGTTATTCCCCTCTACTGTAAGAGGGCATATTTCCCTTTGCTGTGTTGTTATATATGCATCTACTACACATCGGGAAAAGAATGCTTGGTCAACACCTGCAGCTTGACAGGTATACCAAAAATGAATTTCAATAAACAATTACATGGAAATATATAGACTAAAATCTGCCTAGTTCTTACTTATTTCCCAGTATTCAGAGAAGCAAAAAAAAAAAAAAATGACGGTGCCATACTGAGAAAAAATTAAAATGTTTGATGGCAATGTATCTGACCCACTATCCCAGGACTTCAGAGCTGCAAATAAACTGTTCAGGAAATGCAATTATAGAAAGGTGCTATCTAAAGCTCTTTAAGGTCAAGGGAGGATTCTAACTGAATTCAAGGGTGACAGAATCAAATTTGTGATGCAGAACACTTTCAACAAGTATCTGAATATTCCCACTCATTCTTTTTTCCAAGGAGAACCCATGTAGACAATGTCTTGCAAGCGACGTTTTCGAAATATGTAATCTGGTCATGTACTGTTCGCTCTCTGAATACATGCAAATGATTATCAGAGTATTAGAAATGCCAGTAGTTCACCCTGTGATTTGAAGAGTCCGTCGCACTGTCTTTATTATTCATTTTGAGCTAGAAAGATTAGACTTGCCATTGGAACTTTGCCTAAAGCAAATCTGGGATCCCCCTCCAGGCAAAACCTCTTTGGCTTTCCAGGGGAAATCATACTGAGCCGCAAACACACAAAGCAACATTGATAGGTACCATGATTCCGTGAAAAATAGATCTTTAGGGGGGTGGTTGAACTAAATGGATTGACACGTTACAAGATCAGGGGTGAAAGGCATGGAAACACAGGCAAACCACTCTTGATGGGATTTAAGACTGGAAAAATTATATCAAAAAATTGATATATTTTTTTTATCAGCTCTGCACACATTAGAAAAATTGTTTTCCATGTGCACAAAGCTTAAACAGACATCTGCCTTTGCATCCCAAAGACAGCCACAGTAAACAGTAACAGAGTTGGAAGGGGCCTTAGAGGTCATCTACTCCAACTCCCTGCTCACACAGGAGATTCGAACTAGGGATTCGAACCGCTGAACTTTCTGATCGATAAGCTCAGTGTCTTAGCCACTGAACCACCTAGTCAAGCAATACATCTACAATACAATACAAGCTACAATACAGGGAAACATTTTAGAGTAAGTTAAGAAAGCCCTCCATCTTTGCATTTTTTTAAAAAAAATGCCATACTTTTGCAAATGTAATGTGAGATTGATACAGCTGTTGAAATACAGCTGGAAACAAGGAATTTGTGAAAAAATGGCAGAACACCAGGGACTGTCTGATTCCCCCCTCCCCTTTTTAAATCTATCCAATAACTGGTATGTGTTATGTGGTGCATAAATTTGGCTCTTCATCCATTATTCTCCAAGCATTCTTCCCAATTCTAATTATCTAAGAGGGAGAGGGAAGTCAAAAAACGACAACAATACAGAAGTATAAAGGTGCTTCCTCTATAAACGCTTGGCCCACAGAATAAAGGGTTTTTAAATTTACAGGCAGCAGGTGTTTCAGATTTATTTTTTACTTGGCAGCATTTTTCAGAGCGAGGATAGATATATTAAAAATGTGCTACATGTACAAGATTATAATGTTGGCAAGAAGCACTAACACTTAATAGGAGTTTAAGACGAAACACAGGGGCTCCGGGAAGGGTTATCGTGAGTCACCTGCACTCAGTTGTAGAATTTCTACACTTTCTGCAATCAGCTCACACCTTTCAGCTTTCTGCTGTAACTGCAAATCCAGACGTGTCTTATCACTCTACACAGTTGCCCAGATTGTCTGCCACTGAAAATTCGTACTTCTTTGTGAGTCTAGGTGGAAATTCTCATTTCCAGTGTCCCATTTCCATACTGTCTGGCATTCTCAGCCCTGCCTTCCTGTTTGATTGACATCTTAATTGATCAAGTAAACGCGTCCCAAGACTTTCCCTCTGATCACGATGTGTCAAAATGCAAATCTAAATGTTTTCATTCATGTAAAAAGCCCAAGAGTTGGGAAGGAAGAGAGGAAAAAAAAAACCAAAATTCCTTTGTGCATACTTCCCCCGCTCCCCCCAACATTTCTAACACAAATTTATTTTTATTTTCAACCATTCCTACAACAGGCAAGCCACTGACCATGATACATGCTTGGATAAATCTCTGGAATGGACTGCCAACCATAAGGTGGCTTTGAGAAAAATCTCAAAAAAAAACCCCATTATTTTATCTTTGTGGGTTTTTTTAAATCTTGTAATAAACAGTCCACAGCTTTCTTGAGAAAACAATTGTTGCAATGATTATTATGGTTGCTGGATTGACAGCAGACTCCACCTCCTATTTTTTACTTAGTCAGATTGATGTGTTTTCTTCGTTTTCTTTTACTTTGTTTTATTGTTCTATTATTTTACTTTTACTTTGTTTAAACTTCCTTTTTATTTCTTAATTTTTTTATTGTTGTGAGCGCTCTAGAGTAACTCCATGGTGAAGCAGGTGGCAAATATATTTAATAATAATAATAATAATAATAATAATAATAATAATAATAATAAAAAAAAAAATACAGATGGATTGTCATTTGGAACATAACACGCCAGAGATCATGGTTGTTGAGGGCCGAAGCGTACAGTTTATTGATATCGCTGTACCAGGAGATGCCAGATTCGGAGAAAAAGAACTGGAAAAAATTACGAAATACCACGACCTGGCGATCGAAACTACACAGCTATGGATGAAACATGTAACAATGATACCCATTATCATTGGGGCACTTGGTACCATATCCAAATATTTTACAAAACACATCAGGAAATTGCAGCTTCCTGCAATAACAGCAGCAGAACTGCAAAAAACTGTGCTATTCGGAACGTCATATATTTTAAGAAGATACTTGGTTGATACTTAGAACGCTGGCAGCAACCTGTATCATCCATTAGCACCAGTCACTCATATTTGTGACACATTTTTGAATGTTCAGTAACTGAGTTTCATGTTTAATGAATAAAAGAGATATCAATCTCTATTCCAATGCTGTTTTTTGCACGGCATCAAAGGGGCTTGTATTATTCTTGATGACAACATCAAAGACCAAATCCCGCCTGCATCTTACCTTCCTGATACCTTCTGAAGGGTTTGCTACACAGTTATCAGCTCCGTTGTTCTTACTGATGGTCTTCCACAGCTCAGCAAAAGTGCTGTCTTGCTCTAAAGGGTTGGTGCCTTTCGCTTTAAAGTACTCATAAACGGCTGAATCTCTGACTGTGCCATAAGAGATATCCATCTGCTTGGAAAGGTCCTGAAATGTTCTGAAATGCAAGAGGAATCGAGTTATTGGGAGGAAGGGAAAGACATCAGCTTTATGGGCTGGGAAAAAAAAAGTTTTCTGCAGGAGAAAAATATCAAAACGCCTATAATCAATAATCCTACTTGTTTTCTTTTGATTTCCCCCCTCCCCTCTTTTTTTTAATTAAAAGAAGTGTTGTCCTGTCTTTACGTTGGTCAAGAAGACAGGGCAACCATGAGAAGATTCTGGTGGTCAGAGGCTGCACTCAACTATCTGGGGAGGGAAGATGGCAAGGGTCTACCCCAAATGAAGACAATTTTTTCAAGTTCTTCTAATTGGCACATTGTCTTTGTGCATAGATGTGTGTCTAAGTGTTGGTTTGATGTGATGAGCCTACTGCAAAATACAGTTTTGTTTATTGCTTGTTTATTTTTATTTGTATCCCACCTTCATTATTTTTACAAATAACACAAGTCATTGAACATATCCAACATACCTTCCTCGTCCTATTTTTCTCACAACAACAACTCTGTGCATTGCATTATTTGTATTTATTTATTTGTATCCCTTGGATACAATTTATTTATTTGTAGCCCTTGGCGAGTTTCTTGGACTGCAAGGCGATCAAACCGGTCAGTCCTAAAGAAGATCAACCTTGACTGCTCTTTAGAAGGCCAGATCCTGAAGATGAAACTCAAATACTTTGGCCACCTAATGAGAAGGAAGGAGAAGAGGCCTAATACTGGAAAAGATTGAGGGCAAAAGAAGAAGGGGACGACAGAGAACGAGGTGGCTGGATGGAGTCACTGAAGCAGTCGGCGTGAGCTTAAATGGACTCCAGAGGGTGGTAGAGGGCAGGAAGGCCTGGAGGAACGTTGTCCATGGGGTCGCGATGGGTCGGACACGACTTTGCAACTAAGAACAATAATCTTATCCCGCCTTTATTATTTTTACAAATAACTCAAAGCAATAAATATGTCCAACACATCTTCCTCCTCCTATTTTCTCCACAGCAACAACCCTGTGAGGTGAGGTGGACTGAGACAGAGGGACTGGCTCAAAGACACCCAGATGGCTTTCATGCCTAAGGTGGGACTAGAACTCATGGTCCTCTGCTTTCTGGGACCTTCGCCACTAGAACCAAACTGGCTGTAGATTTGCTACATTTCCTAAAGCAGGCAAGTGTACCAACAACTTTAAGTAGTTATGGTCAAAGAGATCAGACTGGAAGGAGAAAAAAGGGTCATCTATGGAAAAGGCGACCACAGGTTGCTTATCCCTGAAGTAGGATCTCCTTTGATATAACCGTGTGCTTTGGAGCTTTAATCTCTGCAGCTCTGCAGTGGGTTGGATTTTCTCTCTGTACTTTATTATTAGACAGTTTAAAGAAGATATGAAAATATTAAAAAAAAAGGAAACAGGAATAAAAAAGTAAAGCACAGCAAAGGATTTGAAATGTGATGGAAATTATAATTTTCCAGTATATCATTAGTTAAGGATGAATCACTGAATATATTTTATCATTGTAGAGACTGAGAATTGCTATTAAGCTCTAAGATAAGCATGAATATCCAGAATTGTAGTCAGCACAGTATAACTAACTGCATGGTATGATAAGAACAGTAAATTCAACCTATATTATTGAAAATCCATTCAGACTTAAACATACCATAAAATTGAAATATGCACTCTATGCATGGAGAAACCCAGTTTTTGGATGTGGTACAAATGTATGTATTAACTTGTAGTCTAAGAAAGGTTTCCATTCTTAGTTTAGCATTATTCTATGTCATATTTACTTTTAAGATAGGAAATTATTTTAGACATAGAACTATACTCCCACAACTTAATTTAGCAGGGATCAAGCAGTCTTTCCATCAAAAAGCACAAAACAATATTCTTGTGTTAGTTAACCTATTCAAAGCAAATTCAGTGTACCTCGAAGAGTTAGATGGTTTAATAAAGTTTAATAAAAAATATTAAAGCCTATAATGGGAATTCAGTATGAAAGAATGACCCAGCTTGTTCATTCTATTTCCATCAATTTTTAGAGAATGAACTGTTCATTTTAGTCATCAGGAGGTGACCATTATATTAATGATAAAACATGTTATACTAAGTATAATCTTTGGGGTACATTGAACTTTGTTTCACTGAAATTCCCACAGATGCGTGTCTATTACTGCATTCGGATTTTGCATCCATTTGACTTCTTCGTTTTTTGAATTGTATTTCCCCAGCAGTTACTAAGGCTCAGTTGATATTCTGTTTTATAAGTTTGCAAATTCACTCAAGTGTCTAAGTACTCCCCCTTGTTTCTGCAGTTCTTTTAATATTATCCTGTTTAGTATTTTCATGCTAATGAAGCCACCATTGTGTTACATGTTTTTCTTTTGATTTATGTGAATCAATGATGTTACTTGTATATCCAGATTCTTAGAGGTTTATCAAAGAATCTCAGCCCCATAACACCACAAACTAGGTACGTGATTATGTCGCTAAGCCTATTTTCTCATCTTTCATAACCAGCTGCATCCTCCTCTTTCTTTTTCTTCTCTTTCTCTTCTTCTTCCTCCTCCTCCCCTCCCCCTCCCCTTCTTTCTCCTCCTGCTCTTCCTCTTCCTCCCCCTCTTCCTCTTCTCCTCCCCTTCCTTCTCTGGCACATAAGCCATCACCTTTGGTAGAATCGAGACCACCAATCCTGTTTCCATTTACAGCGACTTTTAATAAAGAATAATGGAGAAATACCTGGAAAATGCCTCAAAGAAATACATAAAAGACAACTCTACCAAAGCAGCATTTACAAAAATACTTTCTCTCTTCTTGTCCCCATTAACACCGCTGTGAAATGCATTCCGATATCTGTATATTCTTTTCTTTTTTCTTTTTTTGCAAGATGCTAGACAATGTTTTCACCATGAAGGCATCTTTGTAATTATTGTTCACTAATTACATACAATTAGAGCAAAACAGCATCTTGGGGTAATACAAAGACGGGCAGAAAAGCTGTCAGAATGTGAGAGCAAACGGTCTCACCCCCTTCTATTATCTCCCACCTCAGGCCTGCAACATTAGCAAAGAAGCAGATCTCTGATGAATGTGAAAGATCAACATGAATTAAACAGCTGAACTTAGACAGGAAATTGTTGCACATTCTTCCCATGCCAGCCTCTGCTCAACGGAATATATACTGTAATTGTCATGAAACTCCAGTACAAGTTCACCTTCACCCTGCACATTTGAAATATTAATTTCCTTCTCCTGCATTGATATTTATTCCTTCTTCTTTGGTGGCCACTAAAGCTGCATTCATCTTGTTAACTGTACATTCATCTGTTTAACTACATGCATCTAGCTGATTATGTAATTAAAATCTCCCCCTAATTATTTTTTGACTGTAGCTTAGTTAATTCATACGTAGGCTTCCTCCAGTCTTTTCTCCTTTTAGAGCTTTTAACTCTGATTTCTCTGAAAGGCAGAGAGTCAGTCAGCTGATTAATGTTACTTGTATATCACTATGTAAGCAACATGTGTTTTACTAAAGGCCATGAGGGGAAAAAAAATCAGAGCCCCAGAAAAATCACAGGCAAACATTCTCTCATGAAATAGAAATAAATCACGCAACTACTTGATTTTTCTCATTTATGGTTTCAACGGATTGCTTTTGATCATCAGTAATTAGAGCTCAGTATGCATAATTTTGCATTGTAAACATCGTTTGGGGAAAGTTAAGGTTTACATCTGTCTTCCCAAATCATGCACGGTCCTGATGAATTACAGGAGTTGAATTTCCACACATCTGGATTTTCCTACCTGTCACAAGGTGGGTTTGGAAAAAGGAGCAAGCTAGAATTTATTGTTTTCTAAAATAAGACCTGTGCGGTTTCACTGTGATTTGAAAGTTTCTTAACAGAGTAACAGAGTTGGAAGGGATCTTATAGGTCATCCAGTCCAACCCCCCCCCCACCTAAGCAGGAGACCCTACACCATTTCTGACAAACGGCAGTCCAATCTTTTCTTGAAAGCCTCCAGTGATGAAGCTCCCATAACTTCCAGTGGCAACTTCTGTTCCATTGGTTGATTATTCTCACTGTCAGAAAGGAGGTTGAATCTCTCCTTGATCAGTTTCCATCCATTATTCCTTGTTTTTTATTATTATTATTCTTGTTTCTGGGGAAGCTGCTACCCTAGATCTCCGGTGAATATGAATTCTTTCTTTATATGTATTTATTCAGTTGTGTTCTGCCTGACTCCAGCTCTCAGTGGCTTACAATAACAAATAACAAAAGTAGCAAAATATGTAAAATTAATCAAAACTAGTACCACAGTGAATGCAAAATAATAACAAGATAACACCCCAACAACAAAGCAAGTATAAACATCACAAACAAAGAGGTTCCTTCTACTTTATCCCATGTCCTGGGTAAATAGTCAGGTCCTTAAGGCTTTTTAAGGTCCTTAAGGCTTTTAAGGGATGCGGTGGCTCAGTGGCTAAGAGCTTGTCGACCGAAAGGTTGGCAGTTCAGCGGTTCGAATCCCTAGTGCCACGTAATGGGGTGAGCTCCCGTTACTTGTCCCAGCTTCTTTCAATCTTGCAGTTTGAAAGCAGGTAAAAAAGGCAAGTAGAAAAATAGGGACCACCTTTGGTGGGAAGGTAACAGTGTTCCGTGCGCCTTTGGCGTTGACTCATGCCGGCCACATGACCACGGAGACGTCTTTGGACAGCGCTGGCTCTTCGGCTTTGAAACGGAGATGAGCACCGCCCCCTAGAGTTGGGAATGACTAGCACATATGTGCGAGGGGAACCTTAACTTTACCTTTTAAGGATTTTTGGGTTGTCATCAGGGTGGGAAATGCATGAATCTCAGAGGAGATCCCATTCCAGAGGGCAGATATTGCTACAGAAAGATCCCACTTCCTGGGATCTTATGGGCTGGCCACCTTGTGAAAAAAGGCACCCTCAACTTGATAATAGGATATTTCCTTGTTTAATAATTAATTTCCTTTGTGCTTCCGAGCTTCCTATATTTAAGGTTCTTGAGAAGAACAGTCGGTGTTCCTCTGCTGGTAACTATTGTTCAAAACACAGAAAGATTTTGCAAATTCTAAGAAATCAGGAGAGATTTTACCTGTTCTTCTGGCTGAAAATTGGGCAAGATGGTATTTACTAAATATTTAAGATAAAACAAATGCTTCTTGGTTAATTGTTGTCTCTCAGTGTTGTCATTCATCTGTAAAGCCAGCTGAATGAGAAAATCCTTTCAAATATATTCATTAAGTAGAAAAGTGCAACAAAACGAATGAATTTCTTGTATGTACCTTCACTTGATTCCAATCATTATTATATCATTATATCCACATGCTTTGCTCCAAGTTATTATGACATCTTATTTATTATTATTATTATTATCATTATCATTATCATTATTATTATCATTATTATTATTATTATTAATGTCAAATTATTATTTATTGGATAATATATGTAAGTATAAGCATGAACTGAATACATAAAATGAATACAATTAAAGGGAACATTAGGACAGGGATGGTAGGCACCAGTGGTGAAATCTAAAATTTGTTACTACCGGTTCTGTGGGCGTGGCTTGGGGGGGTAATGTGACTGGGTGGGCGTGGCCAATTTTTTTTTACTTTTAAAACCATTTTTTACATGTAAAACCATGTAAAAAATGCTTTCAAAAGGCTCTGACGATCCCAGCTGAGTTGCCCGATCGTCAGAGGGTTTTTAAAAAAACTTTTTTTCTTTTAAATGGCTCTGACGATCCCAGCTGAGTGGCCTGATTGGCAGGCAACTCAGCTGGGCTTGTCAGAGCTTGTCTCGTCAGAGCTTGGCTCGTCAGAGGCATTTAAAAGAAAAAACGTTTTTTCTTTTAAATGGCTCTGACGATTCCAGCTGAGTGGCCTGATTGGCAGGCAACTCAGCTGGGCTCGTCAGAGTTTGGCTCGTCAGAGCTTGGCTCGTCAGAGGCATTTAAAAGAAAAAAAGCCTCTGATGATCGTGCGGCTCAGCTAGGCATGGGGGGCGGGGACAGGGATTTTTGCTACCAGTTCTCCGAACTGCCCACCATCATCGCTACCTATTCGCCCGAGCCGGTCCGAACCGGGAGCATTTCACCCCTGGTAGGCATGTTGGTGCTCTTATGCATGCCCCTTACAGATCTCTTAGGAATGGGGTGAGGTCAACAGTAGACAGGTTTAGGTTAAAGTTTTGGTGGTTTGGGGATGAGACCACAGAGTCTGGTAGTGCATTCCAGGCAGTAACAGCTCTGTTACTGAAAAAAGTAATCATTTAAATCTTTAAAGTAAACATCCTATTTATTGTAAGCTATTTATTATAGAGCATAAATAAACACTACATATGTTGGTTTTTCTCCTTTATTTCTTCCTAATTGTTTTTTCTTTATCTGTATTGTAAGCCAACCTGAGAATCAGGTAAAGTAGGTGGATGGGATCAGAAATACTAAAAATAGCTTTCCTTTCTGTTCATCTTTGCCACTCATTCATCTTTCTCATGATATAAGCTGTCCTTGGAGGAACATCTGATGGCTGTGGCCAGGGGGCCAGGGGGACTTTTTGTCAGGTTCACCTGATACGCCAGTTGCGGCCCCTTTTTGATTGGGATTCCCTGCGCACAGTCACTCATGCCCTCGTCACCTCTCGCCTGGACTACTGCAACGCTCTCTTCATGGGGCTCCCCTTGAGGGGCACCCAGAGGCTCCAACTGGTCCAGAATGCAGCCATGCGGGTAGTTACGGGAGCTGCATGGCACTCCCATACAACACCTCTCCTGCGTGAGCTGCACTGGCTCCCAGTGGTCTTCCGGGTGCGCTTCAAGGTGTTGGTTATCACCTTTAAAGCGCTCCATGGCATAGGACCTAGATATCTTCGAGACCGCCTGCTGTTACCGACGGCCTCCCATCGACCTGTGTGCTCCCACAGAGAGGGCCTCCTCGGGGTGCCATCAGCCAAACAATGTAGGCTGGTGACCCCCAGGGGGAGGGCCTTCTCTGTGGGGGTACCCACCCTCTGGAACCAACTGCCCCCAGAGATAAGGAGAATCCAAGACCTCGGTGCCTTCCGCCGTGCCCTTAAAACTTTCTTTTTTCAGCAAGCCGGGCTGGCTAAACACTTTTAAATGTTTTTAACTGGTTTGTCATTGTTTTTTAATTATGGGGCCAAATTTATATATATCTTTTTAATAGTATTTTAATGTTTGTAGTTTATGTTTTTATTTGGCTGTACACTGCCCTGAGTCCTTAGGGAGAAGGGCGGTATATAAATTTGATATAAAATAAAAATAAAATAAAATAACAAAATCCAAAAACTTCACAGTAATTAATCCCTTCTCACCTGCCCAAACACAGGTTTCCTGGAAATCTATCGACTACAATTACGGCAACAAAACTCTTCCAGACTTTAGCACCATCAGGAGGAAGACCGGAATGCAGATCCTGAATGATGGCTGCTTCAAATTAACAGGATTTATTTTGTTACATGAAGGCACAATTGCATTTTCTACTTCCACAAACAAGAGGCACAAGCTCCCCCACATTACATTTTACTGAAGCAAGTCATTTCAGTGAGCCTGACATAATATAAACTGCAGGCAATGAATTAAGAAGTACACAGAGTAAAATTTTCATATCCACCCATTTTGTCACTGGAGATTTCATCCTTCTGGCTCATGGCACTAACCAATAAACTCCCATTAAGCAGGATGTCATTTATTTGCCCTGGTTCTAATCAAATTAAGCTTCTTGGCATATTTTAAACTAGTTTTTCTCTTTAAAGTGGTGCTCATTCATCTGCCTTACATCATTTTCTTGTTGTGCTGGATTCTCAGTCCTGGGTCCCATCATCTCAGTAAAAGAAAAGGAAGATAAGCAGAAAGAAGGTGGAGGAAAATCAGGCTGAATATCCACAATGTTTGCAAAATGATGTTGCCACAGTGGATGAAACACCATATCAGTGGTGGGTTCCTCCCGGTTCAGCCGAGCCGGTAGCGGTGATGATATGATGTCACCGAACCGGTTCTCCCCCCCCTCCCATCCCCCCACCCATCCACGTTATTCTTTCCTTTTATTTGGTCCCACCCCCAATCTATTGCTGCCTCCTGAGTCCCAGCTGATGACTAGAAGGAAAAAAACTGTTTAAACTCTTGCCACGGGACTTCAAAGGGCCGTCCTACAGCTGATCAGTGTTAAAAGCAAACAAATGAGTCGGGTCATAAGTGCGAGGACTGGTCGTAAGTGCGAGGACCTTCCAGAAATGACTCTGACCAGCTAGCCATGCCCACCTAGTCACATGACCTCCAAGCCACACCCACAAAATAAGCCACACCCACAGAACCGGTAGTAAAAAAATTTAGAACCCACCCCTGCACCATATATTCAAACTTGTCAGGATATAAGAATCTATAAACTAGAATAGCCACAACAACAAGTCAGCCAGTGGGAACTGTTTGGTGACTGACTGAGACCCATGTCAGACAACTTATATACAACTGTTCTGTGTATATAAACTTGCTTCTAGTTCTGGTCCTTGCTTCTACTTCTACTTCTTGTCCTTGTCCTTGCTACCATGTTGCAAGAGCTGCATGGGTATTGTATACATGCATCACGTTTTATATTATTGTATATAAAGAAGTTTCTTCTATAAATGAATCCTGCTGAATTATTTACTTGTGTGTTGGCTGTAATCTATACACTCTGACAAAACTTGATTAGCTTTCCTTCTATAGAGGGATTGTTGCTTAAGCCTAATTTAGCGGCATATGAAAAAGAATCTTCTCTGCAAGAACCATAGCAAGGCAGCTCACCTTTTACAGTGCAAGACACATTCTTTGTCATTTACAAACAAACAAAAAAAAAAAACAGGCCAAAAAATTATAATACAGAGCTTATACCAATATAAGCAATACCAATATTAGCACTGTTCCAATATCTAAGGAGCTGCCACAAAGACGAGGGGGGTCAACCTATTCTCCAAAGCACCTGAAGGCAAAGGCAAGAAACAACAGATGGAAACTAATCAAGGAGAGAAGCAACCTAGAACTAAGGAGGAATTTCTTGACAGTGAGAACAATTAATTAGTGAAACATCTTGCCTCCAGAAGTTGCGAGTGCTCCATCCCTGGAGGCTTTTAAGAAGAGTCTGTACAACCACTTGTCTGGAATGATATAGGTCCATGATGGCGAACCTATGGCACGCGTGCCACAGGTAGCACGCGGAGCCATATCGGTGGGCACGCAAGTGTTGCCCTAGCTCAGCTCCAGCATGCATTCACATGCTGGCCAGCTGATTTTCAGGCCTTCCAGGCCCACCGGAAGTCAGGAAATAGGCTGTTTCTGGCCTCCAGGGGCGTGGGGAAGGCTGTTTTCATCCTCCCCAGACTCCAAGAAAGCCTCTGGAGGGTGAAAAACGGGCCTACTGAGCCCACTGTGCCATTGTATGCCAAAAGCAAGGGAAGCATGGAGAGGTTGCATGCACAAGCATGGGGGCAGGGTGCACTGAATTATAGGTGTGGGCACGCGTGCGCACAACACCCCTGCTTTTGGCATGCGACAGCAAAAAGGTTAGCCATCATTGGTATAGGTTCTCCTGCTTGAGCCGGGTGTTGGACTAAAAGTTCTCCAAAATCCCTTCCAACTCTGTTATTCTATTACCTAGCTGAAAATCTCTTGGGGAAAGCCAATATATTTAGAAAAATGCTTTTTGAAGCAGGCCTTCCCAAGGAACAAACGTTGTCACTGAAGCCCAAATGAGCTACCAATTTTGATGCCTACCTAAAACGCTAAAACAAGCTGTTGTGACCACGAGCTGCTGCGCCAAGCCAATAGTTCATTTCCTGCACTGTCATGTTCATTAATATTCTCATAGTCTAACACGATGTTCATTAATATTGTAATGGTTCAGGAAGGAGCCAACAACCAGACCATTTGACAAATAGAGTGGCAACTTCATCCTTCATTACATTTTCCTTATACCAAGCATCCTTGTGTACAAAGAGGGATAAAATACACAAAAGGCCTTGTGGAACGATCCAGCTGGCAGCAGATAAAAGTGCAGTTTGGCAGGGCTTCTAAACTAAGGCAGAAACTTGCGCTGCTGACATAAACACCATAAGCACTCCTAAAAGTTAATCCACAGAGGCTTCAACAAACACTGGAATCTTTCATTTCAAGTCCTCCTAGCATTTAAACACCTCCTAGTTTTTATTAACAGTCACATTTGCAAATTAGCCTGTTCTGCAGAACTGGGAATAGTTACCATACCTTAATTTTATGGAGAGCTTTACTGCCGCCATAATGGAGCTGCAATATTTCTAAAAATGCTGAAATGCTGCTATTATTCTTGGCATATGTCATAAAAGAGGCAAAGCATAAACAGAGTCTTAATGGCAAGGGAGCCAGGCAACGTATGAAGTTCTTATCAAGATCCTGCTGTGATCCTGATAGAACACTTTTTTTTTTTTTTTTTTACTATTTAACAGAAATAACTGCCTATTTTTAAAGGAAGTTGCCTAGCTATTTTGATTGTGTGATTGATGGCAGGGATAGGTAGCTAGCTAGCTAGCTGGTTGATGATAGATAGGTAGATAGATAGATAGATAGATAGATAGATAGATAGATAGATAGATAGATAGATAGATGCTAGATAGACAGACAGACAGACAATAAATAGATCATTTTTATTACTTGAGCATCCAAGTAATGAAGGAAAGTATAAATTCACAAAACAAAATTCTGAAAAAGATTAAAGGATTTGGAAAAATAGGTGATGCTATTTGCACCATTAATACTTTGTGGTCTTTTAGGATACCCAATCATGTGTTTTCATTATTTTGCTCATGCCACTGAGCCATTCTATAAGAAGAAGGTTAAAGAAGAATGGTGTTCTGTTAAGATAAGGGACCTGCTGAAGTTCTTGGAATGAACAATGCAGACCTCTGGTTTTGTAAATTTCCATTTGGATCATTGTTAGTTTTAGATCCTTCCTTCCTTCCTTCCCTCCATTTTCCCCTCCCTCCCTCCCTCCATTTTCCCCCTCCTTTCTTCCTTCTTCTCCCTTTCCTCCATTCAAGCCACAAGACAGGGGCGCCTTTAAAATGTTTCCTACTAGTATTTATTATAAGTATTATCAATATTACATTTCTAGCTATAATAAACAGGAGCGGGCAAAAAAGAAGTAAGTGTACTTTGATATCCCTAAATACTTGAAGTGGCCCACATATACTGTATACAGAACATTTAACATTTGATTAAAAAGCACCTATTTAATGCAAAGAAAAAATGAGTTGCGTGTGAAATTTAAGATACCATTTAGGTCAGTGATGGCTAACCTTTTTGCCATCGCGTGCCAAAAGCAGGGGAAGTGCGGGGTGATCGTGCGCATGCGTTCCCACACCCATAATTCTATGTGCCCTGCCCCCCGCATATGCGCGCATCACCCCCCCCGGTGATCCCCCCGCTTTTGGCATGTGATGGCACAGTGGGCCCAGTAGGCCCGTTTTTCGCCCTCCCCAGGCTCCAAAGGCTTTCTAGGAGCCTGGGGAGGGCGAAAACAGGCCCTCCAGAGGCCAGAAACAGACCATTTGCTGGCTTCCGGTGGGCCCAGAAGGCCCGAAAATCAGCTGGCCAGCATGTGCATACATGCTGGAGCTGAGCTAGGGCAACGCTTGCGTGCCCACCAATATGGCTCAGCGTGCCACCTGTGGCACGCGTGCCATAGGTTCTCCATCACAGATTTAGGTGGATTGAGATTTGAAATTACTGACTTTTATATTTATTTACTAAGTACTACTGGAAATACTTTGAAATGCAGCTTTCAATATTCTTGAAAACAGCCTGAGCACTATTAAGGTTTAACCATTTCGTGCAAACCGGCATCCCAACTAAGAATTGTTAGGAAATAAAGTGAGAAATGCTATCTCTTCACCCTTCTAATATATGTACGACATGCACAATAATACGAACGAATAAAACTGAAGGAACCAAAACACAACCAACAGGAAATAATTTTTTTAAAAAAATGCATTGACAACCTTGACCTGAGTTTTGATTCATGACTAGAAAAATAGTCTATATGTGCAATCAAAGCACAAACTTTTCTAGTTAGGAACAAGGAGCCATTTTTTCATGGGGATTCAGAATTAATTAATTTTGTGGATTCTTGTTCAGAAAAAAAATTGACCTTGGGCGCAGGGCAGGACTGAGAGTGCCATTAAGGGAGGCCTTTAGGAAAGATTATCCAGTCCTAAGAAAGAAAAGAAAAGACACTCAAAATGATGATTTTGTTTAATATAAGATGGAACAGAGAGAAACTTGGACAAGCTGATCATTATTTTTGATGCCCAAGGGCAATGGGACACAAGATGGACAATGTCATAATTAAGGGGGAAAGGTGAAATTTCTGAGCCATTTTTGTCTATTTCAAAGATGTTCTTGAGATGTTCCTTGAGACCCAA